ATCTCCCCCGTGCCGCCCCTTCCTGCCGTGCGCTAGGGGAGCTCCGTGAGGTAGGTGCTCTCCCATCCCCTGGCACCTCTGTCGTTACGCTTCCGCAGGAGGTGTTGTGCCCCGCGGTCGGTTAAAACTTTGAGACACGTCCCGTAAAGGGGCTCTTGGAGAGCAGGGTGGTGAGAGGTGCCGCGCAGTTAGCCACCAGGGAGATGACTAGCTGCCTGTCACCACGCTAGCTAACCACTTTGCTGCAGCGCATCACCCTGATGCTATGTGGGATACTTCCTGCCTTGCTGTCGCCTTTATTTGCCTGAAAGCAGCATGGGAGGTAACAAGACAGTGGACTAGGTTTTCCTGGGTTTCCTTCCATTATTACCAGAGCGATGTTGGAAGCATGTCCTTTCTTTCACCTTTTTTTTTTCTTTAATATTTGTTACTTCCTTAACTGTGAGTAAGGCACCTGTCTCAAGGAGAAGTGAGGCATAAATCATTCACGTCGGTGAAGTACTTGAAGATATGTGATAATAGGATATGAACATATCAGCCTTAACATTGTTACTCTTCTTCATAGTGAAGCTTTTGAAGCCCCTAAATTGTGTACACGTTTCAGGACTCAGAATCCCTGTTTTTGTTTTAGTATCTAGGAACTGTCTCAGTTGCTTGAGGATGAAAAAATTAAATCACGCATTTTTTTGGAATATAGACTTTCACTCTAGTTTGCTGTCTCTTAAGTATGGTTGGGGAAAACTTTTTTTCTGCTATTCAGGGTTTTTTTTTGTTAGACAGATGGCTTTTTCTTCTGTCACTACAAATCATAGGATCAAAGTAAAATTGACAAGATTGCATGCATTTCTATACTGGAGAGTTGATGCTAACTGGTGGGAAGCAGTGGAGATGTTAAAGAGATGCTACTCAAGAGACAAACCTCAGAAATAGAGGTGAGGAGTAGTGCAAAAGTATATAGAGCAGGGAAAAAATAGATATGATAAATCTATCTCCCCCATATATGATGCAGCAGACAGATGGAGTGGTAAATTGAAAGTGAGTGTAGAGTTCTCGGGTAAGGAAAGAGACTGTGCCCTTTCACTTCTGGTGACTTTTGGAGAGATGTGCTTCAGATTTAAAAGACTTGCTAGCTAGAAATCAATAAAGACTATAAAGACTAAGATATACAGAAGCTCTAGAACAGCACATTAATGAACAGTGACATGTTATTTAGGTAACTGAACTGTTAGTCCTAAGTTTGAAGCTACAGATCTAGGGATTCACGTTAGGCTTGCTCTACCAGTAAGCAAACACTGGCCTCAGTCACCTTACCTTGTTTTGTACCAGTGGCTCCACATGTAACTTAACTGTGCAGTCCGTATATCTAGAGCTTTGCTTGCTCTGTGGCTTTATTTTGTCATTCTGGCTTCTTATTCCTCCAGTGTTTCACAAATCGCTGCTCATGGCACTTGCTCACAACCTGTTAAGTAAGGAACAGCCTTTTGAGATTCTTACTAAGTCACTGTTCCTGTGATGACGGAAGATCTTGCTCCACATACTTCAATTTGGAGTAGGAATAGAGCCTTTTATGCAGAACACTGGTATACCATTAACACTGCAAAGGTGCCACAAATTTCTGTATTCTTAATGAGGAAGAGGGACAAAAAAACTCTCTAAACAGTCTTTGTTTTCTGAGTTTCTATTTTTGGGTTATTTAAGCAAACCATGTAAGCAGCAGAGTGGGAGTGGAGGCATTTTCGTGCTGTTCTGTTTCAGAAATAGGACTTCAGTTTCTGTAGGTATCAGCATGTATATTATTCACAAATGTAGAAACTCCTTAATGAAGTATATGTATTGTGCTGCTTCCATTTAGAAGCTTATTTTTTAACTTTTACAAACATGAAATTAAGCTTAAAATATTTGCAAGTGACTTGTTACATTAGCTCAACTGGATTAATTGCTTAATATTTTACTGTGGCAGATACATAGATAGTGGAGTAAATTTCTGTACCAGCTGGAAAAATTAGCTTCACAAACTGCTGGAATGTAGTTTTGCTTTTGTGTCCTACCAAAAGTCTGTTCAAATCAGAACTTTCATTTGTGGAATCACAAACACAGATTTTATTTGAATAAATTTATTTCTGGTTCCCTGTGACAGTGTACTTTCAGTGTATAAGTTCATGAATGTGAAGGCTAAAATGCTAGTAGGAAGGTAACTTCAGAGCAAAATCATCCTTATGCCTTTCTGTCTTTCATATCCCGCAGAGTTTTAAGCATTGCACATGCACTGAACAATGTAAATGGAAAAAAAAAAAAAAGATGCTTTTGGGCAGTTCTTATTCTTGGCCTATGGGACTAGCCTAGATCTCCAGTTCTATTCTAGTACTGTGTTAGCTTTGCATCCTTCATTTCACCTTTTTTTTTCTATGAAGGAATGAAAGCTATTTTAATGATAGCCCCAGCTCTTACTATAGCCTTTTTAATCTTAGCATTTTATGGAGAGAAGTTTGTTTTTTTGTTTGTTTGTTTTTTTTGGTAAAGTTGGAAAAAGGAGATGACCGAACTGTCCCAAATTCTCCCAATTTTTACTGCCTGTCAGAAAAATGTCCTGATGTCCTAGCACCTCAGGCAGACTGCTTTTTCCTAAAATAGCTTCAGCTTTTTGTCTGAAAGACTAAGTCGGCTTTAAGTCAGGTGACATTATAAATAAGGCATGGTATATTTCACTTCTGTTTCCGTCCTTGTGCATGTGTGCTCTCCTCTCCTTCTGTCTCTAGTTTTTCAGGAGGTGTTATTTGTGTGAGACAATCTGTTTATAAATACACTCAACAAAAGCCAAAGAGAAAATTCTCTCTGTCCTTGAAGGAGTCCTTTACGCAACGGTATCAAGCACAATATGCAGGAGGACGTGTAGAAAGTTCTAGCCTGATTGGCAGGTAGCTGAACATAATTATTTTGTTCTCTCTGTGAAACTGCATATCCTCACTTCTCCTGGATGGGTGTGTGGGGGAGGGGAGGTGTTTTTTTTTTTTTAAAGTATGTGTGCATTAGAAGAAGAGTGCAGGTTCATGTTATGCTTAATCCTATTGAAACTAGACAGCTGCCAAAATGAGTGGTCCTACTTTGTCATCTTTCTGCCTATTCCCAAACTTCAGCCATGGGTTTTTGTTCCTTCTCTTGTCCTGAATGTAGTGCATGTAGTAACGTGGAAAATTGAACCGATTTTCCCGGCCGGTGGAAGACTTTGGAACAGATTGGTTTGGCTAATCTTACCAAATTGTTGGCTGTGCAGCCATACAACTCTAGCTCTGATGCCTGCGAGGGAACTGGATGAGAGCGTATGTTTCTTCTCTGGGAGCGGAAAAGAGGATTTCCCATTCACTGCCCTTATGCCTCCCTTCCTTGTTAGTAGTAACCCATAGTTAAACCAGGCTAAATGTGATATGAAATTACATATGGAATTATTATGAAATGTGTGCACTAACTGGTAGCAAGTGGGAAGGGGGAGGAAAGGAACAGCCTGCACTCATTACAAGAGCATGAAAGAAATTGAGAAGGAAGTTTCTGCAGTATTGTTTCATCTATGTTGTTTTTGCAGTTGTATGAACCTAGTCTGACCAAATCAAACCTTCTGCTGAAAATATCCTTACTAATACTTAACTTTCTTTCCCTACA